CACTATTAAGTCGACGTTTATTGTTGAGGTAGCAGTCCAGAAACATTGTAGTGTTACGTTTGTGCCAAGGAAGGACCTATTTTGAAATAAAATACCGCTTTAGTGGTCCGCATCGGGTTATCGCACTTCAAATTACCCGCCTCAAGAAGCGGACCGACCGGACGACGCACGTCACTGTTGCCGTGCACAACGTTGACCGGCTTAACTGCGCTAGTAGCAGCACACCGAAAAACAGCGGGAGCCACAGCAGTAACAACGGCCATTGATCAATTTCTCGCCATTGGCTTCGAGATAGCAGACGTTTGTTTGCTTCACCTGCGCCCCACTAGATAGCATCACCTGTCCCGTGTAACCATGCAAAAATTGAATTTTTGAACCACTCGCACCATTCCCCATAAGGACGTCCGGTGGTTCCTTTTTTCATGAATCAAACAGAAACGAGCTCAGCCTTTTATTGCGTCTCTTTATGTATGGAAGGTTCTTTATTTAGTGCAGTTAGATAGGTTACTAGTGATTAATTGTATACGGTCCGTCTGATGTCATCGGGATCATTTTTAAAATGCCCTACAGCGGCGCTTGTGTTTTTGTGCATTTACGTTAATTTCTCGGTAAGTAGGGCACTGTTGTTGATAATACTGTTGTTTTAAGTGTTGTCATACGTCTTTCACTCTGACCTAATTGTTAGTTGACTTTAGTGTCCCTTTAAGCACTCGGCTGCTGACCCGCAGGCCGCGGGATCGAATCCGGCCACGGCGGCCGCATTTTCGATGGAAGCGGAAATGCCTATGGCGGCTTTCAGACGTTAAACCCCAACAATTATTATTATTATTATTATTATTATTATTATTATTGTTGTTGTTGTTGTTGTTGTTGTTTTGTTGTTGAATGTTTCCCACCGCAAGAGCTATAAAGGCTACAACGCAAGCGCGCATGCGTGTATGTATGTATGTATGTATGTATGTATGTATGTATGTATGTATGTATGTATGTATGTATGCGCGCGCGCGTGTGTGTGTGTGTGTGTGTGTGTGTGTGTGTGTGTGTGTGTGTGTGTGTGTGTGTGTGTGTGTGTGTGTGTGTGTGTGTGTGTGTGTGTGTGTGTGTGTGAAATCCAGCTATAGAAAAGGACTTCGAGTCGGTTACTGGTTACTACACATTTGGCAGGTTCTTTCAGAGCTTCAGCTAAGGCGATCACCTCCTCTACACGAGCAAAGTTTCACCGCGTGATGACTCCGCCTGCCGCTTTCTGTGTGGCGTGACATTCACCGCGGCTGTATATGCGCGCTGGTTCCTCGGCGCCTTGCTTGTCTGCAACAGAAGGTGCGGTGACGCCATTCCTTACCATTCCCCGATTGCCCTAATATGCGGCTCGGACACGCTTTCTTTGGCTCAGATAAGGAGGGGCGGAACCACTACATGTTGGCCCAGTTGGTGCATCGTGAACTGTCCGTTCTTGCGCGCATCGACAACAGCCAAATATCTGTGAACACTATTCTTTAAAGTGCCCGAGAGAGGACATTGCAACAGAAGGCAACAAAAGCACTGTTGAAATTCCTACGCGACATGGACTTGAACAAGCGGCTGTAACAGCAATGTCACACACCACGAAAGACAAGACCGGACTATGAATGAGTGTGTGCGCGTGTGCTGCCTAATGTGCAGTGTTTATCTCTCTTCCCTCTCTCCTCTCTATTTTTCATCTCCCCCATTCCCCTCCCATGCGCAGGGTAGCAAACCGGCTGCCTATAGGCTAGTTAACCTCCCTGCCGTTCTTTTCCTCCCATTTTCCTTCCTTCAAAGACGGTGCCAATAAGGAGGGGTCTTCATATTGTTGCAATGCGAGTAAGAAGGATGTGTATGTACCCTTATATTTTCCCCCTCATTTATGCATGACACAAATACTACCATATACCTAGTGCGTAACCCAAGGACATCGAAGAGTGAGAGTATCGGAGCGTCTCTTCGTTCCAAAACACTTTATTCGTTTCTTTACTTAACTGGATTTCCCACCAGCTTCGTGTGAATACCCATGAGCCGGTCAACCTGCGTCTGTACTGGAGCATCTCTTTAGTAGTCACGCATTTTATATAGTTCATTGCCTTTCTGTGCAATCGAGGTGGGGATTTGTCCCACAGTGAGTATGCGTGTGCAGCCTTCGCACGCTGCGCTTCGCCGCGTGCGTCACTGCACTCCCCTCGAGGTGCCACTGTTTGTGAGTATGCATGAAGAATGCGAGGACTTCACTGAGCAGAAACGAAAAGATAAACAAATTTTCAGGATCCCTTATTCATTCACCTAATAATATGTCGGCAATACTTGTGGAGCTCACTCAGGCGCACTTGTGAAATACAATTTGAGCTTCAATTGGACTAAATCGGACTCAGACTCACGAAAATTTTGCTGAGCCGGACCCACTCGGACTGGCACGACAAATGACGTGGGATATACCAGTTTTTCACAAGTCACTTCTGGGGCTGTTGTTGTAAAACGGCGCAGTAAAACGGGTTTGTCATGTATGAAGCGAGGAAAAAGCAGATTTATCCACAATGAGGTACGCCGACTTGCTTTGAGCCGAGCAACTGCGGCGACCGCAATTACGACTCTGCTGCCCGCAACTATTTCGTTTGTTTGTTTATTCATTAATTTTTTTTCTCTGCAAAGACGGTTACGCAGTCGCAGGGGTCAAGATAAAAGCTTCTATAAGCGGCTTGGGAAGCTCGTATGTGTAGCCCCCGGTTTCTTTCGCCCTGCTGTGACGGATTGGCAGACGGACGATCATAAGGATATTTCCTCTATATAGGTAAGGTAGCAAACTGGACGCATAGTCTAGTTAACCTCCCTACCTTTCCTACATTCCTTCTCTCTCTCTCTCTCTCTTTCTCTCCTCTATATAGGGCCTTGCACGTTTCCCGAAAGTTCATATTGTTGTACAAATAAAAATTATCATTCCACTATTATTATTATTATTATTATTATTATTATTATTATTATTATTATTATTATTATTATTATTATTATTATTATTATTATTATTATTATTATTATTATTACATGCGCCAGCGATTGGCGGAGGCGGCGCCGTTGACTATTATGGATATATTGTGTAAACAATCACTCAGCAATTACAAACACAGCGATTACAAAACTTGGACGACACTTGAGCTTCGCCTTTAAGAGTAATCCGCGATAGCGTAACGGGGCCCTGTGCGAATCGTCTTATCGATCACTATAGCTTATAGCTTCGGTCTCGGTGTATGCCTGAAACATGCCGTGCCGTGCTCAGATTTGGGTGCACGTTAAAGAACCCCAGGTGGTCGAAATTTCCCGAACCCTACACTACGACGTCTCTCATAATCATATGGTGGTTTTGGGACGTTAAACCGCACATATCTATCAAATCGTCATCAACCATGCCATGAGTGAACAAACGACTGAGCGTGCAGTACTGGGATTTTAAACTTATTAAAAGTGCAATTGTCAAGTGCCAACCACGCCAATCCGCGAAAGACCCTCTACGCGTGCGTAAGGCAACACGTGACCATATGTTTGAGCGCTCTGTAATGGCTGCCTCTAAAACACCCATTCGTTGCGCATTTCACATGTTTTGACGCCTGGCACAAGCATACGCTTCTAACAGTTAATACTGCGTGCGTTAAGAGATTGATTCCACTACATGAACTGGATAGGTGTAAACATAAGGTCTCGCCTTTTTGGTTAGACACAATATCAATGAGAACTTCTACTATACGTGACATTAATATTGTTATTTTTTTTTTTGTTTGAATCAGCTTCGACCATTGACGTGCCTTTGTGGCAGAATACCAAATCGCCAGGCACAGAGCCTCGGTTTGATTCGTACTCCTATTGAAGTTCTTTATTTTTAAATGTTATTTGCAAGTTTCTTGATCTTTTTTTTTCTTTTTGTCACGGACAAGATTATGTTTTCTTTCTCATTCACAGCCGGAGACACCGACGTTAAAATTTCTGCCAAACAAGCTCTTTAGCGCTATTGCGTTCAAATAGTATACAGTGCATAAATGTTATAAACATAAGTGAAGAGACAATCGTTTTTCTGACAACGTAATTACAGCGTATGATCAATGCACACACTGAAAGGCAGTTTTAACCTACAACAAAAATACCCCATTAATGTTAGTGGACGGGTGATACAAGTTGAGGCCATGTTACTATAGCCAAGTTTTTAAATCCGGCATGGTGAAGTTAACAACCTCGTGCCATAATTTGTTCTTGATTAGGCTATAAACCAATTGATGTTGCTCGTGACAGAACTCTAAAGAAATCTGATGCAATTCAAAAGGTGGTAGCGAGCTAAAGTTGCGTCGCAAAGATAGAAAACTCATTGCCAAACACAAGTTTTGATCTCACGCGGTAAGTGGGAGCTTCGCGCCCGGTACCTCAAGCGAAACCAGCACGTGGCCCCCGCCAAAGCTAAAGCTACCTTTCGCCCCTCTCCCAGCAGCGATGCAAGACTGGTTTGCGCCACCCCCCCCCCCCCCCCCCCAAAACAATAACATCCTGCTTACGGCCATGCGTCCGCGTGCCCAGTCTCCACTTCACAGCCAAGGGCGTGCTCCGTCAGAAAGTAAATTCCTGGCTACATTACTTGTTAGAACGACAAATTTTGAGCCTCAACATCTTGTACAATAGAGAATACACTTACACTTTCAAAATCACGCGCTCCTTGGCTCAAGCCGAGCCAGTGGTGCTTGTTCGAGTGCCGGTTAAAGGAAACGCCGAGTGAAGCTTTTTGCGGTGCATCAAATTTGGCGCGGGAAAAAAGTCAGTTTCGGTTTCTTGGGACGGCAAAAATTAGAACTGAACGTGCAAAATACTGACGTAAAAGTACTTTGGCAAGTTCATTGTTTTATACAAACGGCAAATAAAAGTTTTAAAAGTAACTTTTTTTGTTTTATATTTTACTCTCATGGTTTGTTGCCCATTTTTTCTGGCTTTCAGTTTAGTTTACTTGGGGTCTGGTCGGTGCGTGGCGTGCGTCGCGCAAACTGCGTCTCCGTTCGCGCTCGCTCCGTTCTTGTCGCTCCGTTCTTGTCGGTGTCTCATTCGTGTTTGTGTAAAGTCAGTAAAGTGTCACGTTTCCTGCCATTGTGTTGCAGTTCGGGGATGGCTGAGAATATTTTTCTTTTCGTTCCGAACATCATCGGTATGTACAGAGAATCGCCGTAACTTCTAACGACGATCATAATCATTGAGCCGTTGTTTATTGAGCGAACTGCCAGAATACGCTATCCTAAAAAAATGTGAACGAGTCGATCGGTTCACTCTTTATCTTTTGGTTAAAGTAGCTGCACGTGCCTCGCTTGAACAGACCTGAGACGAGCATCTTAAACCAGTGTCTCACGGCCACTGTCGTTCGCAATCGCCTAATCCGGATTCGGTTTCTCGATTGCGATTGACTACTCTGCGTACAGGAGGCAATCAGAATGCAAGAAATGCGATTCCGAACGGGTTCGATCGCGATCGAAAGTGTAGCTGTGACACCTGTATTAAAACATAGGAATCTATCTGAAGTTTGAATATGCAGCTCGGTTTTAGTTGAACGAACCTGCACAAATCATCGTGCAATTTATACGTGTGATAAATTGTAAATTCTGTTCGATTCTCTGCAAAACACTCATTTTGTACCCCTGTTATCTTCTCAAGTGGCGCAGGTGTTCTGGTGGAAATGGCGTCGGTATGTTTTCGCTGAAACGATAGTTTAATCTCATTATACCTTGAGGCCGCGACCTCACCCTGCACGACCAATGTGCGGTGTTCTGAACGTTCAAATAAATATGTTCAGTTAGCGAGAAATTAAGTGTAAAACTATATGCGTCAGATTCAAAGATATTTGTTATTTATAAGAAAACGCTTGTTAGCTATTCAAGTTGGGGATGACTGTGCCCCCAGAATAATTAAATTAAAAAAAAGAAAACACTTGAAGGGTTATAGTGCATTGCATTACTACAGTTAATATCGTAAGCATGCAGTTACACACAGTATGTGCTATAAGAGAACCGTACGTGTCATTCGTAGACCATGTTTAATGAGAATCATGTATTACCTTTCAGGGTATGGCCGCATCGTGTTGGCCATTGTGTCATTTTACTTCATGCCTACAAACTGTCTCGCTGCATCAATCTGCTATGGACTCAGTGCGTTCCTGGATTGTATTGACGGCCACGCAGCGAGAATGTTCAACCAAAGTAAGAAATCTAATTGGGCAGCATGTCATGATGCTGAAAAAGGCATACTGAAAGTGGCCCCCTTATACAAAACAGTGCCATGCATGAACCCAAAGAAAAGAGACAAAAGGCATTGCTTGCACCATCAACTGCGGTTTTGAAATTCTCAACAACTTTGGCAGCGTGCTTGTAGTGATGTGCTTAGTTGTAACAGTGACCAAGACCGCAAGATGCTAACAGTGTAATCTTAAGGTCAGCTGCTGGATGATGCCAGCACGCAAACTGTTTGCAATTGCTGAAATACTTCAGGCATTAAATGGTTGCGCTTGGGAGTGGGATATTTAGTCTTTTGTTCATTCTTTTACTGAAGTCGCAAAGATAGTCAAGTCAACTTTGTATGAGAAAAACGCATTGTGCAATGACTCTTTTTGCATGACCTGTCCTCATAGGTACCAAGTTTGGTGCCATGCTTGACCAGCTCACAGACCGTTGCGGTACCATGTGCCTGCTTGTGGTTCTGGCACAGTTCTACCCAAGTTACACCTTCTGGTTCCAACTGAGCATGGCCATTGACATCGCCAGCCACTGGCTGCATCTGCACACGTGAGATGTGCACATACCTGCTTCCAAGAAATGTGCACGTGGCGTTGAACATCGCGTGAAAGACAACACATTAGAGCTGTTTGCTTCTGCAGTGAATGTAGAGATGTTTTGTGCTTATCTATTTTTGATGAGAATGTATTTTTGACTAACAGAAATACGTACAAAATGAGACATAAACAAAGCTTTGCTACAGTGGCGTAACAGTTACGTGCTCGCCTGCTGACTCGCAGGTCATGGGATCGGTCCCAGCCCTATCAGTCGCATTTTGCTGGAGGCGACATCGTAGCGGTTCATGTACTGTGTGATGTCAGTGTATGTTAAAGAACACCAAATGGTTGAAATTTCCAAAGCCTTTCTCTGTGGGGTCTCTCGTAATCATATCGTCGTTTTGGGACGTTAAACCTCATATGTTAATGACATCAATAAAGACATTCGCATCAGCCTGTGGACCTCACCAAATTAAATACAGCGTAGAAATGTTAGTTACCTTGGTGCCTTTGTGTGAAGATGAAGAAAATTCTTGGACTTGTGCATTATTTGCTTGCGAAACTACAGCTTTGACCAAAAACTTTGAATCTCCAGAGGCACTTTTCCATAACCTCACAGGCATATGCAGTGTTCTAAAATAAAGGCGGAGTGAAGAGGCTAGAAGGCATGCATTAGGTGCATATCTTTCTAACTTTGGGATCGTATGTATTAATTTATAAGCTTTTTGTGCGTACCACATGCAAATTGCTATATGGAATGGTGGTTGCTTGGCTTCTACATTCTGTCATTTCTTGTGTGGGCAAGTGTTCTGTAGCACTTGATTATATAGTTGGTGCAGCACTACTATTGACTCTTGATATATGACATGCTGAGAGTTGACATGGTCACTCAAAAGGCTTCGTTGTTGTTTAGGTCCCTTCTTTCTGGCAAGGATAATCACAAGAACCTGGATTCTAATGACAATCCGATCATGAAACTGTACTACACCAACAAGGTCAGTTGTGTTCAAGTTAGCTTTTCATGTTTACTAGAAGGCAGAGTATTGCTATATTGCCATCGCACCATTTAATGACTGATTGATCAGTACAGTGACAAACAACATTACTTTTATGGCATTCTGCTAGAGTGCCTAATAGTCTTACTTTCTACTAAATCAATGCACACTTATTTGTTTTTGATAAAACCAAAGCCAGTTATCAATACTTTGGCATATTACAGTTAAACCTCTTTATAAGAGGCATGCTCTGGGCAGGAATGCTTGTCTTTTATACGAGATGTCTTTTAAAAGCAGGTGCCTTGCATGCATTTTCTTATCAATATGTATTTTACCGTAGATGTTCTGGTGTCTCTTATACCCATTTGTCTCTCATATCAGTGTCTTTTATAAAGGAGTTCAACTGTAGATAATTTGATACAACCAAGCTTGCCTGCAAAAAAAATTACGGAAAGCTTTTTGTGTCATGTTATTCATGTATTAATCTGTCTTTTCTAGGCTTGTGCGAATAGTTAATTCTAAGCCTGAAGTGAATTCATAGTGAATAGACAGTGATTTGATTTAATAATATCGAATTGGTTTTAATAATATTGCAAAGGGAATATATCGCATACTACAAAAAGAAGTGGACATATTTGTCGTTATTTAACTCACTTGCACAATACTTTTTAAAAATTTAAGCAAGACCTGAGCAAATGCCATTCTCTTTGGTTCAAAGGAAGCGGAAACAGCTTCGAATAGTCGCCAGTTGATTTTCGGTATAATGCAAGTGGTATCCTGTAAAACATGTTATGTTTTAAAACTTACTATGCTTAGAACATATAAGTCTGTATAACAAGCTTTTAAACTTGAAAATTGATGAATCAATTTGATGGTAATACATGTTCTATGATGTAAATGCCAGGCAAAAAACGGTAGCAGTGTCGGGATAGAAGCAGCAAGAGCTGGCCGGGTAAACGGGTGGCATTACAGCAGAAACCAGGCAGTCCAAGCTCATGCCCCATGCCAACGTGTTGATGTTGCTGTAGTAGTGGGCATTCCTCTTCACTACAGTTAATTTAACCTGGGAACTGAGGCAGTGTGGATTTTTTTCTTTGATAGGTGTTTTCACGGCTTAGAACCCCTCCACTGCAGTGAAATCACCTTAACAGTGCAGTGACATGGGGACTAATGTACAGCAGCTATTCGTTTGTTTCGAATACTTCAAAATTTCTAATAATTCAAATTTGAATCAAAACAAATTTGACTACTGTAACATTATTTTGAATATTTGCACAAGTCTCGTCTTTTTCCATTGAAGGAAAGATAAAAAGTAACTTAAAAAATGATACGATATACCGAAATTTTTGAAAATGGTTTGGAAATGTTTTTCAGCACGATTAAAAATGTAGATTCTATGTGTGCTTCCTTCATAATGCCTCCAACAAACCAGGCATGCTTGCAAAGAAAAAAAAATGGGGGGCGTTGGCTCTTTTAAGCACTGTGTGTGCAAGTGAATTTATGGCAGATGATTCAAGATAGATGTGCTCAACGCTTAGTTTCTTTTATGAGAATTATTCTATACAACTATCTGTTGGACAGCTTCGCATGTTCGATGTAGAGAATAATTTTGATTTTATCCAGATTTGATGTTCAAAGTAAGCACACTTTTGGGACCACAACAGAAAAGCATCATGCAATGCACTGCGTAAATTCACCTGAGAAGCTGTTTTGTGGTGTATTTGGTGTCTACCGTAAAATCCAGAGCTAGCACCCTTTTCCCTCTCCTTCGGTGAAGGGTAATCCGACAAGATTTGGAGGGGGCCCTGTTCGTTCACGCGCCGAAATTTAAGATGGCGGCGGAAGAGCCACTAAGAATAAAAAATGCATATGTGTGCTGCTACTGTAATGTTTTATTGAATAGAAATACATTCGCAGTTTTTACTAGCTCTCGGTTGAAAAATACAAAAAGGGACTGAAACAATGAAAATAGTGAAGGGAAGAGGGCTTGGCGTATATTTTCTAGAGATGGAGGGGGATGCTTGCCCGGGCAGGGGCACTTGCTTGGGATTATACAATAGGATTTCACAATCGTTTTCAGATTGTGATGCAAGGGTCCTGGGGCTATATGTAAGGTTTTAGAGGCCCCTTGCCGTGTTTAGGCACTGCCAACGAAAACAGATGGCTACTTTTCTTTTGATTGAATTGCTTGTACATGGACTTTCATATTTCCTAATATCAACTTTGCAAAGGGCACTTAAGTGGACTAGACTCCGTAGTGCACAGCCAGACCAGGGTATTTATGCATTTCAACCTGTTCACAATGCAGCTATCGAGCATTAAGTCTCCCACATTGTGTTTAGCAGCATAGCATGTTAGCCAATGAGCAAATTTTGCCCGCCAACTTTTGCCTTTCAAGTTACTCAAACTACACTTGCTGATGGTGTAACTTATTTTGACCTTGTTTGTAATTGCCTTGCTGTCGTTTCCTTATCTGTTTTAGCCAATCTTGTTCACGATGTGTGTGGGAAATGAGGCATTCTATGGTGGTCTCTACTTGCTCCACTTCACTGAAGGTCCCCTTGGTGAGCGATTTTATTTTGAAATGCTTCTTTAGTCTGTGCTGGGGCATTGAAAAAAGAAGCATCGCTTCTTCAGAGAATTCACTAGACGTCCTTCAAATTGCAGCACCGTCAGGAATTCTCAAAAAGGACAGCAGCAATGCAGCAGCTAGTGTTTTCATTTTTAGTCGTGTATATTAAACCAATGTTGTGCGTGCATGATGGTAGCATGAAAGAAAATATATTTTACAAGGACAGTGCAGCACAACAGCAACTCAGACACAAAGAAAAAGCACACACCACTGGACAAAGCTATCCGAGCTTCTCACCTGCGCCATGTTAGCTTTATCTATGATGAATTACGCATGTAATAATTGCGAAGGTGCTGTTCGCGCATTTAACATGTGCTAGTTATGCTGTGTCCTGTTTTAAAAAATTGCCGAAAGATTGTTACAACTTGCAAAGAATACTGCATTTTTAGACACTTACATTCGCTGAACAATTTGGTTGCCTTTAGTATGTGGGTGGGATGATTGACTGAGTAAAGTTTCAGGAGCATGTAGTTTACAATGTGATGTTTGTATGTTTCAGTGCTTGGACTGGGCCTCTTCAGAGCCATGACACTCATCAGTGCTCCAATAGCCGTCGCTAAGTCATTTGTAAGCCTTCTCCAGATGCAGATTGCAGCTGTGAACCTGGGTGCCATAGATGTCAGTGAGCGTAGTAGACGAACCGAGTGAGCTGCTTAAGCATTTGGTACCACCATTGTGAAATTATGTTCTAGTGATCACATTGCCAAAAGAAAAGCACGTACATTATGTGTATTTGCCCTATCTTGCCATGTTTTGGTCTTGTGTTTAAGAATTCCTTAAACATCTTGGAAACACAGGCATATTGTTCCTGTAGACATGCCTGCAGCCCCATTACTTTACTTTTTTCTTCAAGAATTCACCGTGTTCAGCATTTACTCACTGGCCGAGTCAGACAGGTTTTTGTGTATATGTATTATTGTTAAGTACGATCATCACCCTAAAGTCTCATCGTTTTCTAATGATTTGTGTATCTGAGGGTCATGCGTCATTAGGCTTTCAACAGCCTAATTCGACCAATAAACGCTATAGACCCTACCAGGTGTCATAACACTTAAGTTGTTCAATGATGTGAAATGTTAACCATCAGCTTGTTAAGCACTCTTTTTAACTTTGTAGTAGGTCATTCATAGTCATTCAAGAGTGCATTTGTGAAATTTATGCAGTATTAGATTCAATAGAAAGCTTTTGTGACTTGCAACTTGTAGCATGGATAATGTATTTACTCTTACAACAAATGTATTCATACTACAAATGGATTCACATGATGAATGTTTCCTTCTGATTGGTCTCTTGATATTAACAAAACTTTTATTTTGCACAGTGATTTCACTTGAAACCAGGCCACCAAAAAGTGATCGCCTGGTTTTGATTTTGGCTGAGGTGATGGTGATAATGATAACCAATCATTGTGTGAAATGTTTACTAGTGCTACTTGGCATCATTTGCAAAAAAGCCAGTATTTCTCCATGTTTTCCTTGTCAGGGTGATCAAGGGCATTACTTTGTGTCGACATGTGTATAAAGTGATCGGACCTGTCAGGCACATTTTAGTGCAATGGTATGCAAGCTACACTACCAGCTTCAAGCTCGGGGACGTCGAGCACGCCTCAAATAAATGACAACAGTGCTACAAGAAAATAATTTTGTGTCAATGAAGTAGCTCACATCTGCTGTTCAATGCGGCACCTTAAAAACTACGCCTACCAGTTATGTACCCTGTGCCATGTAAATCGGTATCATCTGAAATGATGCTTGCTAAATCGCTAAGAAGCGCAGCATACCAACACTATTACGACAGTAAATACAGTATCCTGTTGAACTGAGCACACGAAAACTAATGCAGACTTATCTGGTGACTCTGTGCTAAGTAGGCAGCACACCTTTTCGGCACTGATGCATAAGTCAGTGGAATATTAAATGTGTGAAACTTGTCAAGAGCAACTTGTTTCATACTCCAGTATAGATGTTAAACGTTTTTGAGTATGCAAGCATGAGCTTGCATGCTCACACATATTTCACTACAAAATCTGTGCACCTGCATGTGACATGCTGTAAAAGTTGACTGTGTTGACTGTGTTGTGTAATGTCACTGGTGTTCCAGTCTTTTTGCAACTTCTTGCCTTCAATAGTGTGCTCGTTAACTTTTTTTCAGAGCCAGCAGACGTTTTAGTGAAATGAAGACATTAAGATGTTACAAGGGGCCATTGTTTTGGTGGGTTTTGTGAGATATATACTTAATGGACTGTACTACAGTTTGTATTCTGCATATGTAATGCAGAATTAGTGGTTGTGCTTATGAAAAACTAACTACCTCCATTACTAGTTTGGTATGCTCTCGGCACTCCTTTTGCTAAGTTAATTTTTTCTAGTATTCACGTGGCTGTATAGTAGACTTCCATTTAAGTAGACCCTCTTTGAGTCTATATTTTACTCTATTCTGAAGAAATGTTGCTGGAGCATATAAACTGGCAGAAATGCATCACTGTGGAGTGTACCCCATGTTAATCTAATAAAAACGCCCCTCACATATCAAACCAAAAGAAGTAACTGTGACAGCAGGAAGGAATCTGTATTTCATCTGATAAATATGTTTAGACAAGTACTTTCTAGTGTCGGTGAATTAGCAATGAAACTCTCAGACCAACCTGAGTAGGAGCTAGGGATTAGACCCGCTTTGTATGCCCGCGACAACACAATTCGGATAGTTGGAGGGTCTGTAGGAGAACAAGGTGCATCACAAGACAAACTAGGTATTGTGACACAAAATTCACAAATACAAGCATACTCTAGTGTGCTGCACCAGAGAAGTCATGTTGAATTCCAATGGCAGAGTCGGAGCTGCTGATGGATTCTGTGAGCGAGAACTCAAATCTGACGTAAAACAATGCGTGCAAATTCGGAATTGGAGCACAATCTATGCAGCCGGAGCAAGCATCGTAGCAAGGAGGAAGCGGAACTCCTTGAGTTGCCCAGAATACCTTGCATGTAGTTATTCATTCCACTGTCGAATTTTATTGAATTACCACTTGTGCATAGTAGTTTCAGCGTCGGTGACACGATCCTATGAACTGCTCCTGCAGCAACTAGAGCTTTCCGACTCCGAGCTGTTGCAATCGAGCAGAGGAAGCAATTCTGCATGATTTGTCTAGCCTGTCATATCATCCGTCATTACTGCCGAAACATACGATACTGGCGGCACCCCCAAATGGGCGAAGGCGTTAAAGAGAGGGCGTCATGCAGAGTTCCGGTCCACTCCACCGACTTCAGCGGAGACAGTTTTTGCTGCTCCTCAAAGTCGCTCCCGCTCTGAATTTACTCCGACTCTTTCATTGGAACACTTGACTCTCGCCCTCATTCTGGCGTTAGAGCACACTTGCTGCAAAAGGAGCAAAAAAGTTTGCTCTGACTTCACCATCGGAATTTGATATTAGTGTTTCTATAGGGTGATAAGTGCTCACAAGGATTGTCAAAAACCATGCATTTACCATGTATCTGCAAATAGGTTGCACTAAAATCTCCCGGATCAGAAGACTGTACCCATAGCTTAATCCTGAAATTCTGACTCTCAGGCGTTCTTTGACTTGCACCAGCATTGTGCAGTAGACGGACCTCTACCATTCTAACTCTACGCTCAAAATGCTCAATCTCACAGAAATTTACTCAAGTAAGATCAGTTATGCATTGCAGTTCAGCACTGTAGTCTGTGTAGTGTGCACTCAGAAAAGGCATTTTAATTAGCACGGCAGCCGAGTTCATTAATTTGGCAGACAGTATATTGAGACATCTTGATGTTATGTTGCTTTTCTTTTCATTCGGTTATTAAAAAGAAAAGTACTTCGAATTCTTGGATTTTCTTGATGGTCAAAATAGTGGAAGTCAACTGTAGAAAGAATTAACCGCAGGTATAATTTTCAAACTTAGTTTTTGTGTGTGCACATAGGGGTGCGTATACTTCTACTGGCTGCTACTTTTGTTCATTTACTTTTATCACTGATTGCGGGAAAGATATCAGATTGAAAGTGTGCCACCTTCAGCTGCTTATAATCTGTGTTTACGGCAGTAGTAAGATTGCCAGCCAAAGCTGCCTGCTAGTCTCGCGCAGCTTTGGCTAGATGACCATGTTTCTTGCAAATATAACATGCATTATGAATACAGACACTAAGGGGCACACTTTTTTAACGCACTTTTATTTTCGTGCGTTTATTTTTGTCCGCACATATTCAATCTTTCTTTCTTCGTCCTTATTGACTGAGAATATTCTGAACTATGTTCTACACCAATGTTAACTGCTGCACTAATGTTATTTATTGCTGTCAGACTGTGTCCCACCATGGAAGTGCACATTTCTGTATGTAATCAATTTTGTCAAGTGCTACTTTGTCATGATGCTGTGGAATCGTGTTTTTTGCGACTCGTGCAATTATGCTTTGTGTAGTTTAGAGACTGTTAGATTTTGTCAGTAATGTGACGTGATAAGTGTAGTCCACGTAATTAACTTTACTTGAGTGCCCCTTGGTAAAATGTCTGTACTGACAGGGTACAGTACGTCAATCAAGTTCCTTTCGTTCTGGGAACATTACTTGACTGTGCATGATTTTGTGCATGTGCGTATTAGGGAAAATCTGTTAGAATTGAAGGGATGCAGTTTAAAATATTCTTGCACATCTTGACTTGTTGCATGATTTCTTTGCACATGACGCTGAGCCCTAGAGAATGTTATATGCACAATAGCATCATTTTCTTTGGCAGACGAGAAGTGGTGCCAAAAAGTGGTGTATTGTTTGGTTCTTAAACTTATTCTTAAAAAAGCTGCCAGATGCACAAAAATGTCTTTTTACTGTCAAAACATGCACTTTGAGAATGTGATGCATTAGATAGTGTGAAGGATTGTGACACTTCTGTGGAAACGAGGACAACCTAGTGACATTCCTGTAATTATAGTGTTGACTGTTGTATGTCATGTTGCTCTGTATAAAATATTCAGAATTGAATAAATTATCTATGTTACAGACATCTTTATTTGTTCTATTTCTGCTCAGAAGTAAATTTATGAAGGCAGTTTGTAAACTCTTGAAAATTTAGGAATAAACTGGACATGGTAAAGGTGTAAAATGACTGTTATGTTAGGTTATTGTATACTTACAGAATATTACTAACGCAGTAAGTTTTACGTATAAAGAAAATGAAGATCTGTGACTTGTTGCTGTACAATGCACCAACCATTGCAAAGAATACAAATAAAGAAGAATAAAAGCACCCTGTAGCTCATACCTGAAACCAGTGATTGCAACTGAAGCAGAAAGGTCCTCAAAGAAAAAAAAATAGGTACTGATGAAGTTAGAAGTGAAAAAGTTAGTCACTGGACATATTGAAGACATAATTTAAGGCTATTTCTTGAAGGACATGCATATCATTAGTGCAGCGGTGAAAAATGTAGAGTGACGAGAAATTTTATTAGATAAGTGTCGCAGTTGTTCATTTCTATCACCATTAAAAGTTGGTCAGGCCAGAAATCTATGGAATTACCTGTATCCAAAACGGTGCACCAGCCTTCATAGCAGGCATATGGTGATGCCTTGTTTCTAGGCTTTGTGAATAGTGAATTTTAGGTTTGAAGTGAATTCGAAGCAAATAGTGATATTGGTGAATAAAAAAAAAGGGCGTATTTGTCATTACCCAATTAACCTGTCCAGTATTTTTTTTTTAGTATATTTACTCGGATCGAATTCGATTAGTATACACACTGCATATGTTAAAAAAATGGGCTTATTTGTCATTACCTAACTTGCCCAGTAAACAAAACCTGTGCAAATGCCATTTTCTTGCATCAAGTAATTGGAAACAATTTTAAATAGTAGCAGGATTTGAGTCTTGGTAGAACGCCAGTGATCACCTGTAAATATGTTACTTTTGCTATACTTAAAGCATATAAGTTGGTATAAAAAGCTTTTAAACACTCAAGTGATCATGCTCAGAAAATGCTGCCGATCTGTAGTTGGCTGCTCCCGAGAACGTGCAAGCAAATATTATAGTGCGGCACCCCTCCTAAAATTCACGATAATTTCTAAATTTTAGGCTAAAAATTCCTTTCTCTTCTTTCAACAAACGACACTACAAGCTCAACAATCACTCGTCACAGCCATTCTATCAGCCGTTAGTTGATTTGAGCATGGCGTGCTCGATCGTCACTGGGGCCGCCGCAGAAGGCCGGGGACTTCTATGCGCACATGTGCGATCACTTTGAAAAGCTGCGTATTCGAAGAAAAAAGAG